ATTGCATTCTAGGAATATAATGATAGGAGGAAATCAGTAAAATAGTAAATTGAAACGTACAGGAAATTAAAAATGAGATTCTAAATAATTTAAAAAATAATTAAAAAAGGAATTCCAGAATGTCTGTTACTGTGAGACATCTAACGGAACGGAGATTTGATTGGTATGTTTGGGCTAAAATGGGTGGGCTTGGAAGTAAAAAAATAGTTGGGCCCACAACTTATTGGGCTTTAATTAACAGAGAAATTTAATGGGCCAGAACTATATTTTCCACGTGTTAATTGGGCTTATAGTTCATAGTAGGTTATCTACAACAAAACTTAATTGTGCCAACAAAAACATTTGACCTTTTTTTAATGAATTGGTCCACAATGTAGCAATATTTTATGTTGTCCTTATAATGATGTAAAAATAAATAAATGTGGTGGAACATTGGGTATCCAGCTAGCCCAAAAGCTCATTCTAACAAATTTATAAGTCAAGCCCAAAAACCAGTAAATATGATGGAATATTGGGTACTACTCGAATACATTTTTTTTTTGAGTACTATTAACTCTATTACAATGTAGTATCTGACCTTTCATTTAAAAAAGTCAATAACCACAATAAGTGTATATAAAATCGATTTAGGCTATTATCTATGTGTCTATAGGTTGAGGAGATTTTTATCCTTAAACGGACATTAATCGGTCAACTAGCGGCTTTAAGCGTCCAACTCGAGTCGGCCAAACTCACCTCCTTAATCAGCCAACTCGGCGGGCGCCTTATTCGGTCAACTCTGCTGAGTATTTTTTATGTGTGTGTAATGTGTATACAGCAGTGTTTTTCTTATTATTATTACTCACCCGCCTAGCGCCTAATGTCTTCTACCGCATTGAGCACAATACAGAAGTACGTATGATTCGCACGCCCTGAATCCATATATATGTTGTGAATCTCTACCTAGATCCAGCAGTTCTATCTAATTTAACAAAAGGGCTCAAGCTTTTGGTTCAATCACTTTAATACCTATCTATAGATCGATTTAATTAAATTCTCCACTTGTTCAGTGGCCATAAAAGCATGCATGCATGATGGGGCCGGACAGGGTATGCCCGCAGTCTATAAAGTTTCTTTAATAAAAGGTGGAAAATGATGTTAGAATTGTAGACTTATTGGCATTCTTATTTTCAAAAAATTCTAGAAATATATATATAATCTCAATGAGAAAAAAAAAAAAAAAAAAAAAAAAAGTCTCAAAAAATTGGTAGAGTTGGTGAAGCATGACTCCCCTATTTAAAAGTTACGAGTTTAAATCAATCAACACCCTCTTAAAATTTTCAAACTTGTCACACATGATCTTCTTAATATAATTTATTATTTTATGTGCTGTGCAGATTAACACACCGATGTAGTGTTGGTTTCCCTAGTGATTGAAAAAAAAAAAAAAAAAAAAAAAAAAAAAAAGGAAATGATTGGCCCAATGCAAGAGTTCAATAATTGAGCACCACAAAACCCTACTTTGCTCCTTTCTTTCTTTTTCTCTTCTGCTCTGTTGCTTTCTTGGCCTTTCTTTATTTTGTCTTTTTGGTTCAAATCCATCTATTTCCATATTTCCTTGATTTCTAATTAATTAATTGAAACCTAATTCCCAATTAAATTAAATAGATTTTTTTAGGGACGGTAGGTGTTCGAGGGTCCTCATATGACTATCTAACGAATTCCCATATTAGTGGATCTCGAGTATCCCTCAATCGAAGATCGAGTTAGTTGTTGTTTATAATATTTAGATATTGTATTTTGCTAGGTATTCTCATTCTCTAATTCAAAAATATATTTATTTTTACCAGCATATAATATATAAATATATACGTACCGGCCTGTTTAAAGTAAAGATTTTGTTCTCTATTTTAATTTTCTTATGTTTTTCAATAAAATAAGTGTTATTTAAATAAAAACAGAAATCAGAAAATAAATAAGCATATTTTTTCCATGCTTATTGATCAGCAATATCTCAAATACAAACTTCATAGTAATGGCTAATGGCTGCGCTCCTTGTTTAGGTGCAAAGAGAGCAAAAGTAATCATGTGCGGCAAAAGGAACTTATCAAAGAATAATATGCATGAGAATATATTTGCCTTTCTAAATTCATTGCTAAATATGGAGTAATTAATAATATAATTCACAAATAATAAAAAAAAAAAAAAACAAAAAAAAAAAAAACTTATGATATTCGATTTCTCTATCAGTACTATAGGGTTAATTTGGGTCGTCGCAGCCCACAAGAATTGAAGCTTAGACTTTTCAGTTGCATTAATCGTTGCTTACTAATAAATTGTTGGGGTCATTATTATAAATTAAAGTCACTAATATGTTTGTGTATTCTTTTTTTTTTTTTGAATGTTACTGGCTTTATTACATTGTAGGACGCCTCCACTGAGGCTCGAACTCACAACCTTCCAAATAGAAATCCAACCCGAGTACCATTGTTAGACCACATAGTCCTGGTAATATGTTTGTATATTCATTATTTAACAATTTGCATATATGTTTGGTGGCTCGTAAAAGTGACCAAATGGATGGCTACGATTCTCGTACTAAAAAGTTATGAGTTTGATTATTACCAAAACTATTTAGAAATCTTTGAGTTTGCTGCACATGGTCTTCCTAGTGCGACATCGTCACCTAAAAAATTTAAACTTATAATGTTAACTTAAACTTTAATGACTAATTAAACAAAAGATCATTGGCATAATTTAATCAAGATTTTTAAGCATATATTAAACTAAAACCATGCATTCTTGTTATTATGTTTTTATTCACATAATCTCAAATGAATTGAACAATCTAGAATTACCAATAGGGCCAATTACGATATATGGAGGTCCACCATCTTTAACTATATTGACTTTTTTAAACTCCTAAAGTTAAAGTATGTTGAAAATTTGACAAATGTCCAAAATCTTTTTATTTCAGTCATTTTCAATCTTTAACCACCAACTCACCAAGCATTATATGCCACTAAAAACATTTGTTAAAAAAAAACTTTTTTTAACTATAATTATGGATTTTATGGAGTTCTTTGACTATTCAGTTGTCATATCTTACATAAAATTAATTGATTATAAGTAGGTAAACACTAATCATTTAATCATATTCTTTCATGGTAAGTCACAACGTCCCGTCTCAAATCGTACAGGGTTTGAACTCGGCCGACTGCCAACAATAATCTAGGTAGCACAGGTAATCGGGATGCAAGACAGAGAAATATAAAATACGAAATGCAAGATAAAATATCAAAAAAAAAAAAAAAAACATGATTTAGTTTGTAGAAATGACCTAGAAATGTTTTCAGAGTTTCTATATAGATTTTGAGATCGCCATATCAAAGAATTGTATTAGAAAGGTGAAAATGCTCTAAAAAGTTTTCGTGAGTTAGATATATTTAGGGTATAAATGAGTCAAATCGTTCATGAGATACTTACAAGCTGTTTTGTCAAAACTTGATTTGAGTGCATTCAAATTTAAATTCAAACCAAATTAAACTAGTTTAACACTTTTTGAAGCGTGACTAATTGAGTCGTTACTAGTAAACCCTACACAGATATATAATTTCACTAAAGCTCAACTTGAATCAATTCAACCAAACTTATAACTCAAACTATTATAACTATTTCTAGTTTGAATTCGAACCTACCTACCTATTGGCTATTGTCAAACTCGACTTGCAGGCTCATTCTATTTAGAAATGTTTCCCTAGAAGAACAAATATTGGTATAGACAGACAAAGATATTGCGTGGCTCTTAAGGAATAATAATATTGTCAATCAATCTTAACCGCATGCATGCATTTATTTTACAAAACTAAACCCTAATGGATAATAATAATAATATTTTAGTTAAACACAATCATTCCTACTGATTTCTACCACGCTGTATTGTTGGGGTGTGTTTGGCAGATGAGATGAGACCAGGGCTCTACAGTCCAGACAGATAATCAATCCAACCTAAAAAGAAACAACCACCAATGCCCCGAAAAATGTGACTGATGAGTAGATACATATATATAATTTTTGTATTAAAAAGTCACGAGTTCGATTATTACTAATATTTTTTGAGTCAAATTCGTCATATAAATTTTTTTAATGTTATTTACTTTTTATAAATGATTTTCAGATTAGTACACAGGAACATGAGATAATAGTTGCCAATTTCACTCCTCAATAATTATTTTTGTATTAAAAAAAAAAAAAAAAAAAAAAAACAAAAACAGAGCAAGAACCACCAAAGTCGTGTTTGGTTATTTTCGTTGATTAAAAAGTCAAGAACAATTAAAGACAAAGTAAAGTTGTTGATTAAAATAGTAAAATGTTTACACTTTGTAGACAATGGAGGTCCTCCCCACTCAAGATTTTCTTGCTTTTGGGTATTAGTGGAATCACATCCCTCCATTCTTTAACTACTACATTAAAGTTCCATGTTATCATGTTCAACTAGCTACCTTGGGTTAGTTTGATTTCGTTTGAGACCTAACTTATTTGATTTCCGCCTAATATAAAATTTCGATTCAAATTCTAAAAACACATCTACTTTGGAACTTATAAAGAAAATATTTTATCGCTCTTGAGATGCACTAACAATATTAATCCCAAAATGAAAAAACGAATTTACTTCATTAATTATTATGAGCGTGTAATTGTTCTTAGTTCTTTTTTTTTTTTTTAACTGTGGACTTTAACATTTGAGCAGTAATATATATTTATTTATTTATTAACTTTGTGTTATCGGCTAGAAAAAATCAGATACATTGGACAATAATAGGCTACATACAAATATTATTGCATACAAAACTTGAAATGCCCAAAGCTTCCAATCTGCAATGTAACACGTTGTATGTTCGGGCGCAGAGACCCGACCCGACCGGTATATTGCATGCAAGTTCATGTGCATGAAAACACGTACGTACTGCTGCGACCACAAAACCAAAATCACGACCGACATGATATACGTATGATGAATTCTAGTCGGCGCTCTGCCGCCGCAAAGTTTTGTAGAATTTTGAAATGAAGGCCTCCGCCGCCTCGTCGACGTGATCGTTTTCGTCAACTTCTCTAATGGGGAACGGCGAGTCGGTGATCCTGAGCTGCCGCACCACCGGGGTCCGGCCGAATCCGGGCAGCGCCGGGGAGGCGGTTTCGCTGTGGAGGATCTCCAGGGCCTTGACGACGGCGTTGGCCGCCAGAATGTCCTCGTAGGTGGGCGGCGCGTGGTGGTGCTTGCTCTTCTTGTGGAGGGAGAAAGGGAGCTGGTAGGCGGGGCTGTCGTTGCAGCTGAACTCGTACTCGTTGGGGTGGGTGGCGGTGTATGAAGATCGGCGGAGGGCGGCGGCGGTGGAGGAGGAGGAGGAGAGGTGGAATAGCATGAGGTTGTGGATGGCGGTTTTTCCGGCGATCTTGCCGCGTTTCAGTACGAGGTTGATATCGAGCATCAGCTTCGTCTTGGAGATTATGCCCTTTCGTAACATTAACAAAGCAGTCCTCACAACGCTCCAAAATTTCTTTGCCACCACCGGAAAATTGCTTGGCTCCATCCTTCTACTTTCAAATAATTCGATTTCGATCCTTCAATTTTTGTTTTTTGGGTTTAATTTGAGAGAGATGAAGAGAGAGAGAGAGAGAGAGAGATTTATTTATTTAGTTTTTGAATAGACTGATGAGTTGTGAGGAATGGGGAAGCTTGCGAGTAGTATATATAAGGGTGTGGGTAGCTTTAGGGTTACCTATGGGTGCACCATGCATTGGTATTTTCATATATAATAATAATTATGATGAGCACAATTATTGATAAAATTCTAACTTTAAAACTTGATATCACTCCCATCCTAAAGACCGGTAGGGGAGATAGATTACGGGATGATTCGAACCCTACATCTTGTCGTAGTTACTAGAGGTATAAGCAAGTCTAGCCGAGTTTAATAAACAATAGGTAGACTCGAAGTTGACCTAACTCGAGCCAAACTTTGACCGAGTAGTTCACGAGCTGCTCAGCTCATTTACACCTCTAGTCGTCAATAAAGTAAAATTTATAAATTTATGTTGAGTTGGTTGATCAATTGGATCATGCTTGAAACATCATGAGCACAATTATTAATATGGTATGTCGTGTTGGTCATTATATTTAATTTACACCTTTGGAGCTTAAAAGCAAGGTAGGATGATGCTATATTAAAATTTCACATAACACTTACCAGATGTAAAGTCATGTAATATAAGATATTCTTCCATGTAGTATGGTTTTAACATAATTCTATAATCAATTTTATGTGTCATGCAAATCATGATATATCGGAGTACAATTATAGAAAGAAAAAAAAAAAGTATTTTTAATCAACATCGCATCCTTTAAAAATTAAGTATGTTATTTTTTGTAACATATATATAAATTAAAAGTGTCATTTTCTCGATCTATTAATTAATATTACCATATACTTTAGTATATATATTGGATGATGTGATTTGTGTGCAAAAAGTGATTTTTTTAAATAGCAACACAACTCCCTATTGGTACACGTTACATTGATACTAATTTGGCACTAAATGTCTAATTATATTAATCATTTTGAGTGCTATTATTAGTATTATTTAAAAAAAAAATAGATGAATTTGTACGTACTAAGTAAATCTCGTTTATGTACTATATATTTTAAATCATATAAGTAAATCTTAATAAAAACTCTATAGGCAAAAGACTCAACTAAATTAGTATTGACAAACATCAAACTCGTGATATTTTAGTAAAAGAATCATGTATTAAGTACTCATGTATGTAGTCATCACCCCTTTCAGAGTTATTATTATTATTATTATTATTATTATTATTATTATTATTATATAGCATGGTGGCTTAATTTGGAGCTTAATTAATAGAAAGATATGAATGGGTCATTTTCATTGTTCATTTACGTTAGTGATTCACTTGTCTACTAGCTTCCACATGATTCAGGTTTGCATGTAAAATTGCAATTTGCACTAAATTAATTGAACACTGCAAGCTAGTTAATTAATAATTTTATTATTTTCCTGTTTAATTGCATATATATGCCACGTTACGTTACAACGTTGTAGGACCAAACTCACAATTATATTACATTGTGTGTGTGTGTGTTTTTTTTTTTTTTTTTTTTTTTTTTTTTTTTTTTGTGACGAAAGAATCTCGTATTCACTATTCGATAGTGTGTATTATGCATTGGGTAAATCCAAAAAATTATATAGTAGTTGTAAATCACACTATGGAGATCAATGCGATAGGCTCAACTGAGAAAGTATTGACAAAAATCAAAGAATTAAATTCGAAAATCATATTCCACTCACTTGACCACCTCTACCGAACTATATTAACAGGTAAAGAAGTTACTTAGCAAGGGAGGTTTCATGGGAAGAAATATAAGTCAAAATTAAGAAAGGTCCAAGCTACGTTCCAAACAGCCAAACCAAGTAAACAAAACACTAACCACCGAAACCGACATCGTTTTTGTGAAAAATCACGTTGTGGGCATGCCCTACAATTTAAAGTATACATAGAGACAAAGGCTGGTTAATGTTCCGTACGTCCTTGCAAACCTAAGTTACTCACGGGCTCAATAAAGAAGATATTAGTGAGAGTTAAATTTAATTTTTTGATATAAAAATCATGTTTTATTAATTCGATCATTTCTCAGAGAGTTGTCTCACTTTTAATATTATTTCATATGGATTTATTATTTGAAAATCTCTAGTGGTGTTGGACATGCATTAAATTGCCGTGAAGTATAAATTAGCCAAATTATTCTGTGGACCTGGGTCCTCGAATTCAAAATCACACCGTTTTCATACTAAATGTTCATAATTTATTTTTTATTTTCACAATTTGTGATGACTTTATATTGTATTCATACATTTTCAAAACTTAAAAACACAATTTATATTTTAGATTGTCGCAATTCCAATACTAAAATTACACAATTTAGGACCCTGGTCCACGGTATAACAACTATATAAATTAGGGGAAGGTCTTTCTCTGTATTCTAAAGGTGGCACTACTACATTCTGGTTTTGAATACATGCATGCATTATTGATATTTTGCTACATTCTGGTTTGAATACATGCATGCATTATTGATATTTTTTGTGTTCATCGATCATCAACTTTGTTTATAATATGATTAATAGTATCCCTCAAAATTCATTTCGTGAACTGAATCGAACGTGCTGTTAATCTGACCGAGGCTCGGGTATAACTTAATTTTTCTACCAATTAACTTATTTTACTTTGTTTAGTATCATTTGAATGGTTCAATGTTGTATAGAACTACTTCAACTTTTGGCAATGTTCCACCAAGTTTCCTCTCCCCCTTTACACAGCTGTTTGCTACTAACTTTCCCTACAGAAAAAGGCTGTCAAAGTACAGTGAATACTTAATTAGAAACCAGAGGTGCAGGGTTAGAAAGCTAAGCATGTGGTTTAATAGTTTACTAATCTTGGGATATTTTGGCTGCCTCTTTTGAAGCTTGGAATGACTTTTTCTTTGATTGGGCAAAGAAACAGAAAAAGGTGTACTGCAAGCACATTGCTCAATTCAAAAACCTAATTCAAATCTTTGCATTTGGACTGGTATGGGATTGTTGGCTATCTATAAAGAAAAGCCAGCCAGCCCACTAATGCCATTTTTAGTTGTAAATTTCACGTGTTCTTATAAAACTGTGATAGCTATACACCTTGTTTGTTAACCTAGATAGCTTATCAGCGAATTTTGACTTATTTGATCACTATTAATTGTTTGACTTGGTTAAACAATCAATATGAATATTTGACTAATTCGTTTTTTGTAAAACTTATTGCTCAAAAAGCTATTCAAATCAGTTTTTTGAGAAAGTCATTTTGCATGTAATTCGCAGCTAACAATTAAATTATCAAACACTTTTATATAAACAACTAATGTTATCAACTGCTCAAACCCACCAACCCAATCAACTAACAGCTATTTACCAAGCACTACCATAATTTGTCGAGAAAATCCTAATGTGCACCTGATGGCCAGTGTAAGTAATCTCAAATATAAATTGGTAGAGCATTTGGCTTGATAACCATAAGGATTCAAGTTCGACATCTCATATGAGCTATCTATTGACCTCTTAATTTGAACCGACCAACTATAAATAACCAAAGTTGCTTTACCTCTTACACAGTAGTGGTGAAGATACCAAAAGCATAATCTTAAGACCCAAAATCGAATTCGTTTAACCCTAGTGATGTAGATACCAAATGCAGAACTTGAACAATTACTAGCAAAAGAAGATGTAACAAAGGTTCTCAAACAGATAGTTCATACTAACATTCATGCATGCATGCATGCACCAGAGAGCAAACAAAAGGTGGTTCAAGAGGTTCTTGTCCTGTTGTATCCTGATGATTCCTGGGTTACAAACTTACACAAAAGACGAGGATCGGATGGCGAAGCCATTAGAGGTTCTTAAGTCAGGGTAATATTCGTACAGATAATAGATCCCCGGGTAACAACACTAACAAACTTATTAGACGAAAGACCAGTTTATGAACATAAAGCAGATGCAATGCGCGCTTTCTTCTTCATTCAGAACCTTCCACGCCACTGCTCTCTCGTACGAAACTGGCCTGCCCATGCTCGACATGCAGATCCCGCCTTGGAGACAGGCAAATCCCTGTCAACATTCAAACCGGTTAAAGAAATGAAGATTGAAACAGTATATATTGTGCATTTCCGGGAGAGAATTTCTAACCTGTTGCATTATCTGTGGGAACTCGGAGCAGAGACTTTTTCTCCCGTGATCATCAAATATCTTCTCCAAAGTAATATCTTGAAGTGCAACCAACGTTGTTTCGAGCATGTCGAGACCAGCCTGGTTTGCAAACGTGAAAACTGGCAGTGCCTGCACCCAATCCATTACAAAGTTGAAATAGGTAAAAAATCAGTTAAAAAAGAGTTTCTTTCGAGATTTCTATAAAAGGAAAGTTAAAGAATCCAATGTGCATTTAGGACTGAAGAAAAGCAAACCTTTGCAGAGCAGCAAACAATAGCATCCGAGTGGTTCCATAGAGTTTTCAGAATCGATTCGTTTCCTTCACCGGTGGATTTAAGTAGCTCGACGCCCAAATAACACCTGTAAGAAAGAGGGACGATGAGCATATGCTATCCATTTCTCAAACAATTCGGTTAAATTAAAACTCAAGCACTTAGTATATCGCAAACCTGTAACTTTGGCAAATCCAGCGAGCAATAATATGCGCTTCAGGAGTCCCCAGGGGAAGTCGCAGTCCACCATGGGAACCCAAGTGAGAAGGAGAAAGCGCTAACGCTACCCTCTGAACAGACGAGATAATGCTTCGCACATATTGACGAGCCATCGCAGCAACGCTCTCCTGCATGTGACTTTCAAAGGCAAACTGAAAAGCAATGGTCATCACAGATCTCGCAGCACCGTTATTGGTGTTGAGGTCATTTAGCACTTTATTCTCGGCTGTCCCAGTCTCGAGAGCAGAAGTGAGATCAAGGGTGCGATTCGGGCTGGAAGACTC